CTTCAGACATGAGCTTCCTCGCTGTCCCTCCTGAACAGCCACACGCAGTGAACTGTGGGTTTCTGATTTTTGTTAAACCACGTCCATGCCCTAAAGGAGTAAGCCCTCAAGAGAAAATGCTGGTAGTATGAAAAACAGGTGCTGTCGACATATTCTCACTCACAACTCGTCACATAGAGTTGCAACAGTCAAAGGAGCTTTAGATATGGAAGATTAAAGCTAGCTTCCAGGAATATGAGAGAACAAAAAGCCACCAGAGATTAAAGAGAAGCAGTGGGAAGCCTCTGGGTGGACTCAATGACTTTAGCACAGGTGTAAGTGCAACAAGAGCATGAAGAAAAGGACCTGGTGCTGGTGTTTGCAAGATAGATGGGAGAAAATAGATTAGGGGCAAGTTTTCTGTGGTTTACAGATACTAAGACTTACATTTTTCAAATAACACAAGTATAGATGTTTACTATTATAATATGAAAGATATAGCAAAGTTTTAAAGGTTTTTCAATAATATAGTGTACCAAGGATTAGAAAAATAAAACATGATGCTGGGAATCCTTCTTTCTCACTAGCCTCGTGAGACCATCCTGATCTCGCGAGCTTTCAAGGTTTCACTCGCAGATCAGTCTGGAGACTCTCCGTTAAAGAAAATGTGGAGCCGTTCACCAAACGAACGTCCAATCAGCGTTGGTTTTGAGGCGGGTTAAGGTGTGACGCAACAAGAAGCGCGACAGTTCAGTCTAAAGAACATGGCGGCTTCAGCCGATGAAACTAGCGTTAGCATGGCTATCGAGCAAGTTTTATTGGAATTACAGAGTATTTCTTCACTGAAAGAAGAGCAAAACACTGCTCTGGAGGCTTTTCTCAGAGGAAAAGATGTTTTTGCTCTTCTCCCGACTGGTTTCGGCAAGAGTTTGATCTATCAATTGGCTCCTCTTCGTCGTTGCTCTGTTAGTACGTCATATGCTTCGTTGATCTGATTGGTTTATTTGGCCCGTCTATCACCAACATAGGCCAATCAGCTAACCAGTATTTTCGCCCCTTCCCAAAATTACTTCAACGGAAGGTTTCCAGATGGATATGTGGAGCAAATCCATCTGGCGGAGTCAGGTTACTTTCTCACACCATCAGGATTAAATCTGCCAAGTCCACACAGATAAAACCACCTGCATGGGATTTCACATCATTGGTAAATGGTAAATGGCGTCTACTTATATAGCGCCTTTATTCAAGTCAGGAGACTTGACCAAAGCGCTTTACACTACATTCATTCACCCATTCACGTACACACTCACACACTGATGGTGGCAACCTACATTGTAGCCACAGCTGCCCTGGGGCTCACTGACAGAAGCGGGGCTTGCGTACACTGGCGCCACCGGGCCCTCTGACCACCATCACTAGACAATGCAGGTGAAGTGTCTTGCCCAAGGACACAACAACAATGAAAGTCAGAGTCGGGGCTTGAGCCGTCAATCCTTTGATTTCAGGGCAAACTCCTACATCCAACACCACTGTCATTGCTGAACCATTGACCATCACTCTTTTTACATAAATACTTCCTCATCTTAATCTACATAACGCTTAACCTCCCTAGGATGCTAATTATAACCAACCTCATCAGAAATTTTGCGAATTAGCCACACGTGATCATTTTAGCAAGGAGGTCTATTTCATTAGAATACTACAAAGTTCGATTGCATTTGGAAAACAGCTGGTTTGTTATGGAGGAGATTTGAAAGCATGTACATCTGCTTCAACAGAGCAACTTGGAAGCAGAAAACAAGCTTGATTCAGAGGCGATTGGACTTTTGCTTGTTTTTTTCTAAAGACGTTTCAACACCTATCCTGGAGTCTTTGTCAGTTTCTTCCTGCTCCGCTCATCTTTAGTAGAATACATCCCTGCAGCGGTGTTAAAGTAACAGACAGCTGATGTAGAATGCTGCAAATGCTGTCCTCACTAGAACTAAGAAAGTGGACAACATCAGCACAGCTCTAAAGTCCTTCCACGGTGTATTTGAGAATATAGACCTTAAAATGCTTCTGTCTATAAATCACTGAATGGCTGAGCAAAAAGATACATTACAGACAGTTTTCAGTGGATCGACAGCCAGACCTCAGGTCAACTAGATCACAACAAGATCTGCAGAATCAGAACCAAACATGGAGAAGCGACTTTTGGTTCTTATGCTCCACTAATCTAGATTAAATTCCTGGAGAACTGTAAAAGACGCTTCAGCCCATTAGCTTCGAGCTGGCATACAGGAAAAGCCTGCTCCATTAGGTCACAAAAGAGACTTCAGACTAAAGGTGGCTCTGCACTCTAAGGACACCTAGAGTGCTTAGAGTCATTCGGCCTCATTAACAATCTTTTCTCATCGAATCACAGTGATAAAATGAGTGAAAATGTCAGACTCCAGCTCTGACAGGGGATTTTCTGTTGCTCATATTTTAACGTAAATGAGCCCACATGACTGATGAAAAAATAAATAAAACTTACATCTGAAATGTTCTCCTTTGTATCATCAAAAATATTTGCAGCTTTCAAAAAGGAAACCCTTCCTTTTCTGTTCACTCAGACATTTGTCATATTCTCTGTCATATTCACAGTGATTTAGAGAATCCAGTAGGAACAATTTTATTGTTTACATTGTTCAACAAAGGTTTCAAATGCAATGTCTGTGCAATATTTTTAAAATGATCAGACCCAGAAAGTAGTCATAAGAAAAACAGCAATGGATTCACTCGATCAGAAATTAAACTTAACTTAAAATTCACTCTTTAAATATAAATCTAGATTCTCATTTTCATTTAATTAAGGAATCTTATCAAACAGAAAAGATTTGATTCCCAAAACCAAAGTATTTTTTTTATAAATATATATATATATATATATATATATATATATATATATATATATATATATATATATATATATATATATATATATATATATATATATATATATATATATATATATATATATATATATATATATATATATGTTGGACTCATATCATGTGAAAATTTCAGTCTGGAAAACATGGGATGTAAAAACCCAAATCATTGATAGAAGTGGTGGGTCCTGCTGCCACCTGTCTGACAGTACAGGCGGTTACCATGGATACTCTGGATGCAGACGGGTGGACAGACCCTCTGATTTCTTGCAGAAATACTGCATCTAGAAAAGAAAAATAGAACTTCACTTCACAACATATATTCTGTTATGCATGAAACAAGAATTTCTTTCATGATCTCATTTTTCAATATTTCTGAATTCATACAAAATCATCGGGTATCAAAGGAATCATTACAGGCTCAGTCTTTTACAAAAAACAAATACTTATCAAAAATTTTAAATATTAGGAAGTTTTTATACTTGATAATAATAATAATAATAATAATAATAATAATAACAACAACAACAACAACAACAACAACAACAACAACAATAATAATAATTGAACTTTATTGATCTCACATTCGAGAAATTTACATCTGCATTGAACCCATCCCCTTCGGGAGCAGTGGGCTGCCATCGTGGGGCGCCCGGGGAGCAGAGTGGGGTTAAGGGTCATAACCGCTAGGCTGCCACTCCCCTTAACCTCATATGGATATTTCTTAAATATTTCTTTGAGGTTTGTTATAAATAATCCCATCTGGAATCTCTCAGAATCATATTTCTCCAACCATTAAATCAATAAGACCTCATTTTAGATAATCAACTATCTTTAAATCAGAAAGCATAACAATGTCCTCTGAGTGCTGCTAGATAAATAACAGCTTTTATTGTGTTTTAGATAATGCAACTCCTTTTGGCATTTACTTAACCATATTTAGTTACTTTAACAGATTGTTTTATGTCCTTCCCTGCTAACATGAACATTTGACTTAAAGTAACTAAATATGGTTAAGTAAATGAAAAAAAAATGTTTGCATTCTTTTTTTCAGTGGAGCTCCACTCTGAGGCAATAACCTCTGCCACTGCCTTGGATGTTGTAAGCAATTCCCTGCTCCAGTGCACCAGATGGATTAAAGGTATTAATTACCTCAACAAGTTGCAAAGTGTGCTAATAAAGTTGAAGTAGAAGCAAAGAAGCATCTGAATAGGGCAGCATATCCACCAGATGAGGGAACAAAGTTAATCTTATCAGAGAGACAACACAGCATTTCTGATCAATTTTTAGTATTCACTGTTTACTTCTATGTGTAGTGGTGAGGTACGTTTCATTACACAAGATTAAATTTTAAACTAACATTTACTAAAACATGCTTTTTCTCATAGCAGCGTCATCTGGTCTGTTCCTGTTTGGCTGTGACGCCATCCTGGAGAGAAATATCAGCTTTGCTGCTGCCATCAACACCTTTGTTTATAGATGGTGGAGATCAGCCTGTTTTCCAGTGTAGTCCTGTTTCTCTGACTGTGACTGGCTGGATGTGCTCTCTTCTGACTCGTCTGCCTGGCTGTGTGTTTCCTGGACAGGGCCGCCTTTTACAGCTGCTTTTTGTGTCTCTGCTTCTGTCTCCTTGAACCCCAGTCGGCCTCAGCAGATGGCCGCTCACACTGAGCCTGGTTCTGCTGGAGGTTTCTTCCTGTTAAAAGGGAGGTTTTCCTCTCCACTGTTGCTACAAGCATGCTTAGTGTGAGGGATTGCCTTGGAGTCAATGAGTCGATGCAATCAACTGGTTTTCCTCAGATTGAAAACTTTGAATCAATTTGGCTGGATGATCTGGTAAATTGAGAAGACGTGTTGTGAATTGGCGCTATATAAATAAACTAAATTAAAATTGAATTAAAATAGAGGAAAACAAATCCTGATCTCAGTCTCACCATCACCTTTTTTACTCCACATTGGACTAATAAAAAGCATCTCCCACTACAGCTCCATAGTGAGCAGCAGGGGCGGTGGACTCCTGTCATCAGCAGCCTCCTTAGCCAATGGGTAACCCAGTAGAGGAGACACTTAACAGCATCTCCTGCGCGCAGCGGATCAGAGCGCAGCGCAACAGCAGCAGCTCCTCCAGCTCTCCAAACAGCTTCAGCCTCAGGGGTTGAAACCGTTTCGTTTTTCTAGTTATTATTATTATTAATAATAATTTTACTCTAAGGACTGCGGTGGTGAAAACGCTAATATGTGGATTTTTAACTCTGAAGTGCGGCTCTGCATAACCTACAGCTGGTTTCTTCTGGCACAATGAGAGAGATTTAACACCTGAAAGTGAGTATAACTGACTTCTGAATATGGATCGCATCAACACAGAATGCAAAAGTTATGATTTTATTATTTTAAAAATGAAATGGAAGGCACTGAGGACGCACTGAGGACGCACAGTCTTTGGGTGGTGGGCGCTGATCCATGCGCGCTGGGATGTGATGGATTTCCCCCAGAACTGGCAATATAACAGGGGCAAAGTGAGCTGGGTTCCACATGAATGCACGTTTCACAATTGGAAGGGGAAAAGGGGCTCTGGAGGACGACAGCTGGACCAGAAATTCAGAACAATCAATTATGCGTCTTTGTGACATATTTCATTTTTCTTTATCCATGCGAGGTGTTTATTACATAAGTGATTCTTTTATTTGTGTCTTTTAAATCTAATTTTCCCCGGATCTATCTGGGATTTAAGTGCGCATGAAAGATCTTAATTTCATTGTTTGGAGTTTCTTGTAGAGATTAAAGTTACAGCTTGAAAAAATATTTTCAAGAAAAATACAAAATAAACTATCTAGAGCTACATTTGATCACTGTTGATCAGTTTATCTATAAATTAGACTATTAATGAATCTAAAATAAATTCTAATCTAAATATTTCGAGGTTTTCAGATGGATGGTTTCTAGGAAACCTGAGTTTAAATCCATTCGCATCGTTTGGGGTTTGTTTACTATTACGGCAAATGTTGTTGTCCATCCATCCATCCATCCATCCATCCATCCATCCATCCATCCATCCATCCATCCATCCATCCATCCATCCATCCATCCATCCATCCATCCATCCAATGTGTAGATCAGGCAGATAATTAAAAGTGCTTTTCTGAATTAAATAATGCGTCGAAAAAAATGAATTAAATATATATATATATATACCCCATGAGCCCTAAGTGCAACTATACAATTCTATCTATCTATCTATCTATCTATCTATCTATCTATCTATCTATCTATCTATCTATCTATCTATCTATCTATCTATCTATCTATCTATCTATCTATCTATCTATCTATCTATCTATCTATCTATCTATCTATCTATCTATCTATCTATCTATCTATCTATCTATCTATCTATCTATCTATCTATCTATCTATCTATCTATCTATCTGTACATATTGCAGTTCCACAGTCAGAGATGCCTATAGATAGGTCTTGTTTACAGAGGATTGATTTTGTCCATACAGTTGATGAGACAGGTGGCCCTGACAGGTGGTCAGTTGACACCTGAGAACTTCAGGGGCAGCAAAGAACTGTAGTGTAAAGGTAAAGTGGAACAGGTGAAGGAAATATAACCAGACTGGCTATGAGGATCCCTGGCTTGTAGCTATAATGGAAAAAAATAATTCCCATTTAGCTTCTTAAGACATGATCGATATTATATATCATCCCATCTACTCGATAATTTTTTTTTCTCTTCAAAACAGTTTGTAAATCAAATTTCTTCTTTAGAAAGTGTCATAAAATTCAAAAAAAGAAGACAATTGGCGATTTGTTATATGTAGTAATTTGAGATATGTCAGATAGATAACTGGATATTTTTTCAAAGATCTCAGCCTATTTAATAATGATGCAGAAATAATATTGGGGTAAATGTATGATAAAATGTACAGTCAAAATGTTTTTCACTTCCTATGCTAAACTATGTCATTAATACGTACTCATTGCTGCTGTGTCTCACAGCAAAAACCCAAACATATACAGGTGCTGGTCATAAAATTAGAATATCATGAAAAAGTAGATTGATTTCAGTAATTCCATTTAAAAAGTGAAACTTGTATATTATATTCATACATTACATACAAACTCATATATTTCAGATGTTTATTTTGTTTAATTTTGATGATTACAAATGACAACAAATGAAAATCTCAAATTCATCATATCAGAAAATTAGAATATTGTGAAAAGGTTCAAAATTGATGGCCCCTGGTGCCACACTCTAATCAGCTAATTAACTCAAACCACCTGCAAAAGCCTTTAAATGGTCTTTCAGTCTAGTTCTATATGCTACACAATCATGGGGAAGACTGCTGACTTGACAGTTGTCCAAAAGACGACCATCGACACCTTGCACAAGGAGGGCAAGACACAAAAGGTCATCGCTAAAGAGGCTGGCTGTTCACAGAGCTCAGTGTCCAAGCACATTAATAGAGAGGCGAAGGGAAGGAAAAGATGTGGTCGAAAAAAGTGTACAAGCAAGAGAGATAACCGCACCCTGAAGAGGATTGTGAAACAAAACCCATTCAAAAATGTGGGGGAGATTCACAAAGAGTGGACTGCAGCTGGAGTGAGTGCTTCAAGAACCACCACACACAGACGTATGAAAGACATGGGTTTCTGCTGTCGCATTCCTTGTGTCAAGCCACTCTTGAACCACAGACAGCGTCAGAAGCGTCTTGCCTGGGCTAAAGAGAAACAGGACTGGACTGCTGGTGAGTGGTCCAAAGTCATGTTCTCTGATGAAAGTAAATTTTGCATTTCCTTTGGAAATCAAGGTCCCAGAGTCTGGAGGAAAAGAAGAGAGGCACTTCATCCACGTTGCTTGAAGTCCAGTGTAAAGTTTCCACAGTGAGTGATGGTTTGGGGTGCCATGTCATCTGCTGGTGTTGGTCCATTGTGTTTTCTGAGGTCCAGGGTCAACGCAGCCACATACCAGGAAGTTTTAGAGCACTTCATGCTTCCTGCAGCTGACCAACTTTTTGGAGATGCAGATTTCATTTTCCAACAGGACTTGGCACCTGCACACAGTGCCAAAGCTACCAGTACCTGGTTGAAGGACCATGGTATCCCTGTTCTTAATTGGCCAGCAAACTCTCCTGACCTTAACCCCACAGAAAATCTATGGGGTATTGTGAAGAAGAAGATGCAATACACCAGACCCAACAATTCAGAAGAGCTAAAAGCCACTATTAGAGCAACCTGGGCTATCATAACACCTGAGCAGTGCCACAGACTGATCGACTCCATGCCACGCCGCATTGCTGCAGTAATACAGGCCAAAGGAGGCCCAACTAAATACTGAGTGCTGTACATGCTCATACTTTTCATGTTCATACTTTTCAGTTGGCCAACATTTCTATAAATCCTTTGTTTTTATTGGTCTTCAGTAATATTCTAATTTTCTGATATGATGAATTTGAGATTTTCATTTGTTGTCATTTGTAATCATCAAAATTAAACAAAATAAACATCTGAAATATATGAGTTTGTATGTAATGTATGAATATAATATACAAGTTTCACTTTTTAAATGGAATTACTGAAATCAATCTACTTTTTCATGATATTCTAATTTTATGACCAGCACCTGTAGCTGCTCAACTTGCGAAGCAACAATTTTAAATCCACATGACTGAGTTTCTTCTAGCAAAAGATATTTACATTTTAAAGGCACAAATACAAAATTAATTAAGTCTTAAATATGATCACAAACTACAAAAAATTTTTTTAAATGATTGAAAATAATTTCATCAAAAACATATTTTTTTTTTCATTGATACAATGTGATTGATTCATTTGATGCTCAAAATCATTTATAAATAGTAGTTTTGGCGGATTATTGTATTGACTATTTGTACCTTTTGGCTTTCCCTACCTGCTGCAGTATTCCTATATTAGGCTTCAGCTTGTGTGAATTTAGGATTTAGATTTGAGCTCAGAATGTCATGAAGGGAAACCTGCCTTTACAGCCATGCCTTCATTTGGTTCAAGGCATCTTATGTTTGGCCCAGATTGGCATTCAGCAGTGAAAACTTGCTAGTAACTTTCATATAGAATAATCCACAAAAACAAAACATCTATTAATGCTTGGACAGGTCCAACATAACCTATAGGACCTGAATATAACTTCCACCAGCAAAGATTTGTCAGGAACCACTGAGTCTGTTCGCATGTTTAGACTAGAGGACACTGCGATGAGAGGTTCGTCAATAGGTGTCAGTGGTTTGGAGAGGAAATGGACAGCAGGCTGTGCCTGAGACTTGAAGCTTGTTCCTCAGGTGACAGCCGTGGTGCTGATTCTTGATAGCAGAATGATGAAGCAGCTTCCTGACATATTGTCCTCTCCGCCTGTGGCCCACCAAGCAGTTTATTTACTTTACTGGAACAGCTTAATAAACTAAAAGAAGTTGTGTGAGATGCCAAACCATTTTGTGCAAGGGGAGTCCATCCCATTAAAAAAAGTTTCATACAACTTAAAAATGAGGAACATGTTCCTCACAAACAGGAAGTTTTTGAAAAAGATTTTCTCTCCAATATGTGATAGTTGGAGGGTTCTGTGGCTCCCTCTCTACCATGAGTCCAAAACAACTGAATATGAGTCACAAACAAGAAGGAAAGAGGCAATAATTCAACTGTGTATGCTGCTAACAGCTACAGTGTATCAGATATATATATATAGTGGCTGAACTTCAGTTGTTTATATAGTGACATCTAACTGCACAAATCTGCAATTGGTTGCGTTTTTTGCCTTTAAGACCCCTACTGTAACATGTATGCAAACCTTTTAATTTCAGAACTGTTATTTTAGAGGTGAAAGTCTTTATATAGGTGTATTCCATACATAGGGAAGTATTTTGACAGTATGATTTACAGCTACTAAAAATGTAACTACATTATAAATGCACCAGCAACAACATCTGCTGTTTTTAAAGGTCATGGTATCACTGTGCTTGTTAGTCAGAAAACTGGCCTGACCCCCATTAAAGCAAAGCTGACCTTCCTGAACACCTCAGCAGAACCACAGGCTGATAGCCTCCATGTCACGCTGCACAGATGTAATAAATCAGTCATCAGGAACCCTGGATCAGGACTAAATATAAATACATATGCTTCAGATGGATAGAATTTCTTGTATCAAAAACCTTTTTTGCTGGTCTTAAATAAAATGGATGGAGAATAATGTGTTTTAGTTTGCCAGCAATACCTTGCAGCTTAAAGGTCCGGGTAATGAATCTAGCTTTGGGTTTTGCTGTATGGAGTTTTGCATTTTTTTCCTGATGCATTATGGGACTTCACAGGGTTTTCTGGCTCCCTCCCAAAGAATAGGAACGTCCATGTTCTAGGGCTTGCACACAAACATAACCAGGCTTAAAAATTAAAGAGAAACAAAAACTTGGACTCTCATTGGCTGAAAACCACAGTCATTAACCCTGTGATGCCAAATGTGTCATATTTGATACATACGGTTTCTGAAATGTTTTGCATAATTTAATGGTAAAAACTTTGCTCAAAATCCTATTGTACACAATCCGATATACCTGATAACAGCCAGTAGAAGACTACACAAAAAATAATCTTGACTTATCGCATAGTAATAAATGATTAATATCAAAAATGTATTTCTGTTTTTTTTTTTTTTTTTTTTTTTTTACATATTTTGTTAAAAGGACTTCAAACCAAAAAAAAGTAATTTTCTGTTTTGTTTTATTCTTGGATCAGGCTTTAAAGGGTTAATATCTAGTAAATAGTGATGATTATGTACATGATTGCTAATGTTTGAAATCAGTTACTGAATTGAATGCTATAATGAACGTTTCATTATATAAATTACATAGACGGAACTGTTTATACAGATTTCTTTTTATGTATAAAGTGCAATATGAAAGGATTGTAAACCTTCAAAATATATATATATTTTTTTACACATACTTCATTTATTTGTACATTTTTTTTCATCCATTACTATGCGGATTTTTTAGGTTTTGGCCTTTAGACTCAGGACTGAAGGGTTATGTGGGGGAGGTTTCTTCCTGTTAAAAAGTGTTTTTCCTCTCCACTGTCACCACAAGCATGCTTGGTTTGATTGTATTCGAGTCAATTTGTCAGTGCAATCAACTGGTTTTTCTTAGATAAAAAACTTTGAATCAATTTGACTGGATGATCTGGTTGAACTGGAAAATGCCTTGAGATGACATGTGTTGTGAATTGGCGCTATAGAAATAAACTGAATGAATTGAATTAATTAGCAGTTGCATGTGTCAGGTTGACAGAACTTTGCTTGCAGAGAGCCCATGTGTTTCCTGTTATATTCAGCCCTAACACCTGTTTCTCTTTCTGTTTATTTTAGGTTAATGATGTGAAGATTCTGACACGTTTTTAACGATGATTGAGACCGGTACGCCGACGATGTTGGACAGAGCAGAACCAGCACACTGCACTGTGTGCTGCTGCACCCTGGCCAACAAAATCCTCATGGTGCTGTTCATGGTGCTGCTGATATTCGCCATCCTCTTTGGGAACCTAGTGACTCTGGCTGTGGTGGTGGGGACCAAGCACTTCCACACTTCGCAGGGCTACCTAAAGGCATCTCTTGCAGTTGCGGATCTGGCTGTGGGGATATTTGTGGTCCCTCTGTCTGTCTATGCTGAGGTCTATCTCATGGTGGCTGAGTCAGCACCAGAGTGGACTTTGTACAACTCGCAATCTGTGAGTTTTCACCCTTGTAACATCATTGGCCCCATCTTCGCAGGGTGCACCTTCGTCTCCATCACCACTATCTTTCTTTTAACGATTGAGCGGAGCATCGCAGTGCTGAGACCACTGCACAAGGACTCCTTTATTACCCGTAAAAGGACGACAGTCCTCGTCTTCCTCTCCTGGGTGGGGAGTTTCCTCCTGGCCGTGTCTCCGATGGTATTCAGCAGTGAGATCACCCTGGAGTACAACTCCTGCAGCAGGATGTGTAACTACGCTTTGGGGACAATTGGTGAGTTCCCTAGCCAGGCCTGGAACATCCTCCTCCTCTTTCCCGCATTTGACTTCACGCTCCTTGGTAGCACAGTCGTCATCAACATCATCTCTCTGTCCAGCATCAGGCAGCACTCTAAGCACAGGAAAACCCTGGCAGAGACGGAGATCCAAACCACCAGTAATCCCACTTTTTCTGACATTAAAGCAGCGAAGACAATCGGGACTCTGACAGTGGCATTCACAGCATCATTCACCCCCATCGCCGTCTTTGTGGTTGGGAACGTTTTGGGGAACAAATGGTGCAACTTTTCCTTTTTTGCCTTTTGGATTTTGGCGACCAACAGTTGCTGGAATGTCATTATTTACAGCGTGAGGGATCAGAAGTTCAGACTTTGTGCACACAAACTTTTCATGCCTTCCCAAAGACAAAACTCAACAAAAAGCTGAACCTTTAATGAGAAGTTTGGTCAGGTTCTTGTCTCTTAGAGGTGTATGTGTCCCACAGACCATTGGTCCATCTCATTACTATAGAGTCCATTTTTTACCATTATAGCTACAAGCAAAGGAAATTTAATAAAATTTCAATTGAGGAATGAAGGTTTAAAAATATTGAAAAAATAAAATGTGAAAAATCTGAGTAGTAAAAACTTTTTTACTTAAAATGTTTTTTAAAGTTTTATTTCTGGTTTGCATTTTTTTTTAATGCAAAATGTGCTTTTTTTGCTTGCTACAATCGTGAAACAAAATTCACCCCATATTTTACCACCTTTGTACTGTGGCTGCATGTCTTGTTGGCAGCTGTGGTGCATCTGCTGGAAATTCTTCAATTTTTACCTAAATAAAGCACTGAGTGTTTATGGATCACATGCCCTCAATGTAAATATTCTTCTCAGTGGGTGTTCATCTTGTTCTGTGTTTTGTTGAATAAAGGCATGTCTCAGTTTGTGAACTGGCTGTTTACGTTTATATAAATAATTAAAGACCAATTAAAACAAAGTGCCTTTTCTTTTCCTATCCTGTGAATAGACAGGACATTTTAAGGGAGGTGATATTTGTTTCATGCGCTTGTTTTGGGGAAATATGGCAGGGATTTCACACATTTCTGTAATTTACTTATTCAAGTAATTCAGTCACCAACAAATAAACAATTTTTTTTTTTTAAATGAGTATTTGCTGCCATTTTTGCTTACAGTTGATATTTACATAAACCATTTTAAAAAGAGAGAAAACCTTTTTTTCTGTCTGACATTTAATCTGAATGAATGTTACTTGTTTGAGGTCAGGATTACACAATATTTGGTAAATGCCAAAAAAAAAAAAAAAAAAAAGGAAATCTTATTTAAGAGATTTTGTTTTACTTCCTTGGACGTCTGACTTTTAACTTGGCTTTATTCAAATCCAAATCATTTTGAGGATTTTATGATCTTAAAAGCTTCTGAAATTGTTATCTAAAACATTTCAGTTGAACGTAGCCTCGTCTTTATGCATTTTAGGGCAACAACCCAAAACATGTTGCTTCCTTGTGTGACACGGAAAATCTAAATCAACCAGAGGCAGGGAATGAAATTCTGCTTAGGGCTTCCTTCAACCTTATGTGATGTCAGAGTTTTTATAATTATTCAATCTACAAATATGTTCTTTTATTGCAAGCACATTCAAGCGGCTTACATAAAAACTATCGTCTTTGACGAATAATACATACCAGGGAAAAGATTAGCATAATAAACCAAAATTGAGAAGGAAAAATAAATTATATTAAACAATGCATGAAAAGGCTTGTTTCCTTTTTAATTTGGAACATTAAGAAAAACAAAAACTCTGCTTCTGTGTTTGAATTATAAAAGACAAGCAAATGAAAAAAAAACAAGGAAAAAAACAATTTACTTAAAAATTATATTATACACTGGAAAAACGATCTAAAAATAAGTAATACATTTCTTAAATTAAGTGTATTTATCCTTAATTTCAGTAGGTAAATGAGATAGTTTGCCAATGGAATGAGTATTTAAACTCTTAAAATAAGATAATTAGATAAAATGCACTGGAAATAAGACAATCCAATTGTGTTTTCTTATTTTAAATGGAAATCGTTTTGTTCCGTTGGCTAAAGGTCCCTTTTACCTCCTCAGTTCAAGAACAAATGCACTTATTTTAAGAAAAAAATGACTTATCTATATTTTGGTTTTTTTCCAGTGTAAGTATTTACACACGAATTAAGTAAAATTTTATTCTGCAATATCAAGTAACACTTGCGAGTTTAAAGTGAATTTTACTTCCCATTAAACATTGCAGTTGTGACATACAAGTTGTAAGTTATATTTATTTAAACAGATTCAGCAGAGTCTACTTGTTTTCCATAGGCAAGAACATTATTTTTACTTAAAACTGTAATTAGATTTTATACCACTATAGTATTTGCATTTATAAGATAATTAAGTAGATATTAATATTTTTCTTGTGCTTTAAATATTCGTTCACTTTTTTTGCATTATGATACACTACTCAATAAAATTAGGTAATTGTTGCCAATAAAACAATAAGTGTTACTAAATAAACCCATACTCTATGCATTTAATATAATTAAATTCAGAAAGACTTTATTAATCCCACAGGGACATTAATTGTTGCAGTAACTTATGGGGTTTTCTTTAACGAGTTGTTCTAGATGTTGATCCTGTAGGAGGGAAGGAGGTTCTTCAGCTGTCTGTCATGCAATGGTTCTGAAGAAGCCCCTTACTAAAGGCATTTAATATATGTATATTAGGGTTTTTTCATTTTAAGAACTAAGTAAATACAGTGCTATGCATGGAAGCACTGGAACTAAGTGCTTTTCAAAACATTCATCCACCTTCTCCCACTTAAACTGTCAGGGTTACTGGTGCCTTTCTCAAGAGGTGCACACACTAGATTGGTCACCAGTATATTGCAGAGTAACACAGAGGCACAAACACTTATGCAGGGGGGAACATATCAACTTGAACCAAAAACCTACTTCCTGCAAGGCAACAGTGCTACCCGCTGCACTGAAAGATTGACATCCCTCTGAGACAGGATTTAAGGTATTCAAGATAAAAAAAATTAATTCACTTAGACATGCTTAAAACAGTAACAGGGCAGGAACGGCAACATAAACTTTCAGCAATGGTCTATAGATTATGTACTATAGCTGTATTTAGATAAAAAAAAAAACACATGTACTTTAAAAGCATGGCATCCATAGCAAAGGTGGATTATGTCTTACTGCATTAGAATTTGTACAAGCCGTAATTTAAAAATGTATCTCCAGCAAATGGTACTAAAAAAAGTGTTTACAAGTTGCCATATTTGCCTTCTGTAGGATGAGAAGGGCAATACAAGCTTTCAGGAGAGAAACTTTAACTTCAGAGTTTTTACTTTTGGGGACAACTTAAATACACCCAGCTTCAGCAAGAGTATTTGGAAGACCTTTAAAGTGTAGCCTAAAGAGGGAGGTTATGCAAAGCTCAGGGCATGAATCGGTCCCATTAGCAGAGAGGAAGCTTTCGCTGTACCGCTTCAACTTAGTACCGGTACAATCTCATTACCTTCAACAATGATAGAGACAAGCTGGATCAGCAAGTATTTTGGAGATATGGTTGCTGGCATCCATCCAGCTCTCCTCCTGCAAGTAATCTACAACAACAACAACAAAATTACATTACTGGAAAATGAACTAATCATTCAGCATGACTCCATAATCAGGGAAGAATCAACATAAGAAAACCTCTTTTCCTTTGTCCACTTTACACCTACCTTAAACATTAAAGGGATATTGATCAACTCAATCCACAAAAATTGATTAGTTTGATTTAAAAGTATTTTTAACATTAATCAGTAACTACATCCATACTCAAGCCGAAATGTAAGCTCAAAATTTGCCTTTCATAAGCATATATTAGTGGTTATATATGGTAAGCTCTGTGCTGGCTGCCATGTTCTTACATGCACTGATGGAAGGAAACAACGGAAACTCACCGTGGACACCGGAGGTGTCGGCTCTCGTTGAGGTGACAGTTAAAAGTCATTGCACTGATGGTGCATTCACGAGCATTGGGGCTGACGGCTGTCGGTAACAAACCAGAAATGTGGGTCATGTAAACAATAAAAGATCACCATGAGCATTAATTCACTTAGATTACTTTCATGTTGCTACCAAAAGTTTTACAGAAAACAAAAAAATGTTCTACATTTTTTGAAAAACTCAAACAATGACATATCTTGTGTCAAACTACATGCAAACTTATTCAGTCATGATGCAGAACAGATGGACCCAGTATTCAAAGCCAGAAGGTGGGATAATTCAAAGTGTTTATTTAAGTAGAGCGGCCAGTGGATCCGCGGCTAGAGCGTCTATCACTGAAAACTATTGGAGAAAATCACAGGTTAGTGACAATGATAATCTGATGGAGGATGATTATCCCTGTGAGTCACTAACCTAGTTTAACAATTCAATCCAGAGAACAAGGAAGGATCCAGCCGGAGGGCTGCCAACGAGATGTGGCGGATGCTGCCCAGAGTGTCCCAGATACTGCAGCCCCAGAGAACATGCAGGAGTCGGAGCCTGGTCAGGGAAACAGATCAGAACAGGAAGGCTCAGATGTCCAGGAATCCAAAGACAGTTCAGATGCGAACAGGCAGGCTCAGTGGTTGAGAGGCAGAACAGGTCAGGATCAGGAAATCAGAAGCACCAAGGAACTTCAAAAACCCTCTCAGCACTGGCTAGAGAGAACAAGAAAAATGTGGGCCTGATAAGTGAATGCAATTACATACAATATAGGCAGAAGCAGGTGGATCAGATGAGCGGTAATGAGCAACCGGGCACAGGTGAATGGAATGAGCAATTAAGCCAGCCATCAGAGCCAAGATCATGACATATTCATTCTTATTCATTCAAAACAGAAAATTAATTACTTATTAATAATGACTGTCATAGAAATGTCCTGACTAGATCAGAACCAAGTCCTGTTTTTAGCTACAGTGCCTCTTGCATGCATTTCAAAACACAATATTTTCAAGTTGTTTATGTAGCATTTGTATGTTTATTCTGGAGCCCAGGAACTGACATGGAGGAAAAAAATATATTACGTTCCCACAATATACTATACTGCGCACAAATTACTTTTTGTGGTCATAATAAGAGCTTTTTTTTTTGTTGTGTCTAAAACATTGGGTGCTTTAGCCTGACCTCCCTTTTTTCTGATTCCATTTTAAAAAATGCATTTCTCCCTCCAGGTTCATCCTTGATGCAGCGCAGCACTGACTACATTTTATTCCACAGACACCTGCTGAGTGGCTCATCAAAGTTTCACTGATGATTGGTACTGGAGAATGGACTAACAGATTCCCTTTTTTCAGCTGGAAACCAGTGAGGACCAGAACTTTAATGGGTGAGCCTACAGTATAGGCTTCCCCTTTAGTGCCTGTTGCTGGTGGGTTAAAGGCAAAACAGAATGGGGTCTATACATGAGTCCCGACCACAAACAAAGCATCTGCCTACACAGTCAGCCTTCAGCATTTGAAAATATATGCTTTGAGGCTTCCTGCACAGCCAAGTAACAGAGGAGAAATAATATCTGTCAAGTCAGAGCCAGAGATCCTTGCTGTTATGTATGAGAAGCACAGAGGAGTTAGAGAGACAAACTCAGAAAAAATAAAAATCAGTAGCTGGAGTGTGTGTAATGACAGAGCCCTGCATGCATAAAGTCTGAGGCTGCAAGTCATCTATGACAATAGGTCCAAGTATTTTTTTTTTGTCATTTTAAATTTGTTCCCCCTAAAAGAGAAGATCATTCCTCTTATCTTTCTCTTCTGCCTGCATCTTCTCCACATATTGATCATATCTGCCACAATGTTACAAATTGCGGCTGCCTTCAGGATGTGCATAAGGTTATGAGACAAGCAGTGTTGTCCGTTACATCCATTACAAAAATTACATTTTGGAAATATTACAGCTGTAAAAGTCGGTAAC